AAGCAGCAACGAGAGTGGTGAAGATGGTCGGGAAAGCGATTGGGAATAGGGCTCAGAGGGGGAGGAAGCTGGAAGGCCCCACACTTGCACGGGTCTGAGGGCTGATGATGTCCAATGGTCATAGTCGAAGTGGTGATTTTTTCCGCACAGTTGATCCCTTGGGTTTTCCAAGGCAATCAATGCTGTGCCTCTTACTTCTTGTTCTTCTTCCGGTTCTTGTTCTTCTTCTTCTGCTGCTGCTTCTTCTTCTTCTGTTATGACTGTTAGGCTGTTAACATGTTACGTTGGAGGCTCACTGCCAATTACAATTCTTAAGATCACTAAATCTGTGCAACAGATTCTGTGAAACTGTCGGCTGCACTTTGCCACTTACGTTGTTTTCAGGTTGCGATTCTTCTCAAGGTGCAGGACTTCGAGATTGCTTGCATGGCTGCTTGGAATCACGGGGAGCAGCGGACTAAGTGTGAGTGCAGACTCAAACCAAGTCCGAGTGTCGAGTCCACGCTCATACCGAGTCTGCTGCTGGAGACCAGCGGGACAGAGTTGCTCAAAGTTTGCTGCTTGAAATCACGGGGCCCAGCAGACTGAGTCCAAGTGTGGACGTTAACACAAGCTTGAGTCCACACTCAGACTCAGTCTGCTGCTCTCCGTGATTTCAAGCGGCAAACTTTCGAGAACGCTGCTAGAAATCAGGAGATTCTTATTTCCTGCTTGTGAGTGCTTCAACCTGCTCTACCTTTGCGAGTCTACGGGGAACGCAGAAGCTGCTGTGTCAGCCTGTCTTACAGCAGCTGGTTCATGCTACCAGCAGCAGCTGCTCAAGCACAGGCGAGACACAGCACCTGCTGTATCCCTGGTCCTGCTAAACGGACAACCCATAATCCACCCCACTCCTGCACCCCGTACCCTCACCCTCGTCTCCCCGCCCCTGCCACCAAAACACACATGCATAGAAATTAGAAACACCGCCGGATAGTCCTTCGGGACATCCGTTAAAATTGGAATGATACAGAGAAGATTAGCATGGCCCCTGCGCAAGGATGACACTAATAAATCAAAAAATGGTCCAAAAAAAAAAAAAAAAAAAAAAGAAACACGGCCAGATATCGGCAGTACTCGGGAGGCGCAGACAGGCACCAAAGTCCGAAAAAAAAATTCAGTGGAATTTTTGCTTGCCCAGGGTACCCCGGGCGTGGCCCCCCCCCGGGCAAGGCGCCCGGGGCACCCGGCCGGGCGCCCCGGGAAAGCTAGCTCCGTTTGTTTTTTGTGCATGTTTTTTTCGGGGGTAAAACTCATAGGGGGATTCGACCAGTCTGCCAACACAATGGGCTATATTGAAAGGGAAAAAAAAAAACTCCTGCAGAAAGTAATCAATGCCGTCAGGGATCCCTAGGCCATAACACGGGGATGCGTTCGAGAAGGGTGTCTATGTTCATTGAACTTGCCGGTGGATATGCAATCAGACTGCTGCTCCCCAGAAT